GGGGGGGGCGCAGGCGGGGCCACTCACCCGGGCAGCAGGTCCGCCTTGTTGTGCACTTCCAGCACGGAGTCCAGCAGCGGTGCGGGCAGCCGCAGGCCGCGCAGGGCCGACAGGACGCTGGCCTTCTGCAGCTCGCTCTCGGGGTGGCTCACGTCCCTCACATGCACAATCAGGTCCTGGGGACCAGGCGGGACATGTGGCCGGGACGTGTGGGGCCACCAGCCCCGCTGCACACGGGAGACCACGCAGGAGCCGGACGGCTGAGGCCCCGGGCCCGGTGGGGGTGGCTGGCACCGGAGGGCGGGGTGACGCGGCCCCTCCTGGTCCTGCCGGGCGGAGTGGCCGCTCAGCGTCTCCACCGTGTCCCACCGCACACGCGCCGGGCACCCACCCACCCAGCGGGTGCCTCATTCAAAGCTTTGGGCTGTTCCCCCTTCTGTGAATCCTAGAAGTGGCCGCTATTTCACATTTTAAAGATTGCTTTTTCACGTAATTTTAAGCATTTTACAGGTACGTTCCTTATGCAAAATGTGGAAAAGGCACAAAAGGAGAAAACAAGCCACATGTAATTCGGTCACTGGGAAAAGGCGCCCTTTATGTTTTGGGGTGTTCACTTCTAGGCTCTCTTTTTGGGAAAAACATAAGTTTTTTAAAAAAGGTTTTATTTCAGACAAGTTTTAGATTTTCAGAGAACTTGCACAGGCAGTGCGACAGTTGGCACGTAGCTGTCACCCACCCTGCTGTGTTGTCACCTTAAACATTACAGGGGCGCTTATCGCCACCAAGGGGCCAACACGGGTACAATGTCCTAACTCAACCCCGGCCTCGTTCAGATGTCACCAGCCTTTCCTTCATGAGCCTCGCTGTCTGGGGACGCCATCCAGGACGTGCCATGTCATCTGTGAGGGCACCCGGCCCCCTGCTGTGTTGTTTCAGGGGACCCAGCCCCGTTACAGGGGACTGACGACCCGGCCCCGACACCCCCACTCACCGAGTGGGCCACGTCCTCCAGGGTGGCGGAGAACGCCTCGATCAGGCTGTGGGGCAGCTGGGAGAGGAAGCCGATGGTGTCCATGTAGATGACAGTCATACGGGAGGGCAGTGACCCCGCGTGGGCCGTGACGTCCAGCGTGGCAAACAGCTGATCCCGCGGCTGGATGGCAGCGTCTCCTGTCAGAGCCCTGATCAGCGTGGTTTTTCCTGGAAGTGGGGTACAGGGACTCAGGCTGCATGAAAATCGCCTCATGTGTCCCATGTGTGCTGCTGGACCTGGGGCGGCACCACATCTGACCTCACGCCGGACCCAGGACAGCGCCACGTCTGACCCTCACACCTCCAGCAGAGGTGGCCTGAGTGTCTGTGAGGTCTCTGAGCTCCTACGTCTCCGCAGGGCCCTCGGGACGCAGTGTCAGACCACGGGGAGTCCCAGCATCGGCTGTCCAGGGTCCTGGGCCACACGGGCCCTGAAGACCACGGTGTACATGAGGAGTGATGACGGAGTCTGGGTGTGTGCTGTGTGAGGTGGGCGGGGTGTCTGTGCAGACAAAGGTGATGGTGTAGATGGGGGTGTTAGTATAGACGAGGGGGAATGGTGTGGGGGGACAGTGTAGACAGGAAGGGGACGGTGTAGACGGGGAGACAGTCTAGATGGGGGGATGCTGCAGACGAGGTTTATGGTGTACACAGAGGGTGATGGTGCAGATTGGGGTGACGGTACAGACAGACAGGGCCGTGTGTGCCTGAGGTGGTCCCCAGAGGACGGCCCCTCACTCAGCCTCTCCGGAGAAAGCAGACCTCTGTGAACCTGACTCGTGTTCAGGGCCACCCCAGTAATGGACTAGCGGACAGAGACCTCTTGGTGGCTTCATGCTGCCCCAGAGGTCACTGAGAGGGGACTTGTGACGTGGAGTGACCAGGTAGGACAGCGCAGCCCGGACGCATGTGGCGTGTCCACCACCCATCCATTTACAGTCGACATGCTCTTCGGAGGTAGGACACCGGGCCCTGGGTGGGGTGAGCACCCGGGATCAGCCGGACACCGAGTGGCAACCTCAGAAAAAGAGTGTCGGTGACGCGGCCCCAGCTGTCTGGCAGACAGGCACACACACGCATTCGCACTTCCTGGCAGGTGTGATCGTGCACGTGTGCACACACTCAGGGCTTCTGTAAGCTACACGTACTACCCAGAGGTTTTTGGTCTGCGTTTTGTGGGAAGTTACCCCATTTAGGACGCAGACTACAAGGTCCCTGAGGACGGGGTGCTGGCCACGTCACATCGCTTTTTGAGAGCACAGAGGGCTGGACCGCTCGGAGCTCAGCAAATGCTTGCTGGGTGAATACTGGAGCCGAGCACGTGAACGTGGTGCCTTTCCCGTTACTGGGGGTGCCTGTGACATGGAGCTGAGCCTCCAGAAGCAGCTCAGACTTCCGTCTCGTACACGAGATGTCGCTTAACGTGAGTGTTCAGACAAACCTCACACAATCTGAACTGGTGTTATTTCTAAGAGCGTGTCTACTGTGAATGGACTTCAAAACGTCCAGTTTTTTCTAGCGCTGAGAGTTTGGAAGCCGTCCGTCAGTGAGGGCGTCCGGTCCACTGCTGGGCACTGAATAAACACACTAGTGACTTGACTGGGTGGGGTGTCGTGGCCCCGAGAAGCTCCGGGCACCAGGGTCACCCGTTCCAGTCCGTTCTCACTGTCTGCAAGCCCTCGGTGAGTCCTGCAGCCCTGCCGTGTTTGCAAGGGGATTCACCTCAAATACACCAGCAGCACAGGAGCAGGCGGCCCCCACTTGTCACTCCTGCGCGCTCACCGGTCTGTGTGTCCCCCCCGTCTCACTCCTGCCACGCTCACCACAGTTGGTGTACCCCACAACGGAGACCACCGGGAACTCCCGCCGCCTGCGCTGTCTTCCCAGGAGCTGCCTTTTCCTCCTGAGTCTGTCCAGAGCCTTTCGGATCTTCACTTCCTTCTCCTTCAAGAGACGCTGCTGAACCTGCATGAAAGACTCGCCTGGAAACAGCCAAGGGGGTGAGTCGGTGCGCACCCCCGTGGACAGCGGCAAGAGCAAGCGGGGGGCAGGCAGCAGCGCTCAAGGCCTCTAGGCAGCCACCCCCAACTTCTGGCCTCTGAGGTCACTTGGGCTCTCCTTTACTCAGCAGGAAGAGCCCCTGAAGCACAGCCCCCCAATATCCACAGTAGACTGAGTGGTGACCCAAAGATGTGTCCACGTCCTGAACCCCAGAGCCTGGGAACGGGACCGTATCTGAAAATGGGGTTTTTGCAGATGGGACTGAGTGAGGGGTCTGAGAGGAGGGCGTCGTGGATCAGAGGGGCCCTGACTCCAACGACAGCGTCCTTATCAGGGACAGAAGAGGAGGGACATACAGAGGGGACGCCACGTGGAGACGGAGGCAGAGATGGGAGGGAGGTGGCCACCCGCCCAGGGATGCCTGGAGCCCCCAGGAGCTGGACGGGGCAGGAGGGACCGTCCCCTGGGGCCTCCGGAGGGAGCGTGGCCCTGGGACACCTTGATGACAGACTCGTGGTCTCTGCAGGGGCGTGGGGAGCAGAGGAGTGGAGAGGAGGACGCATTTCTGGTGTTTTAAGCCCTGGGTTTGTGGCCCTGTCACAGCCGCCCCAGGAGACCACCTGGATGCCTAGCTTGTTTGACTGACTGCAGACGAGCCCCATGTGCAGCCGTGGCCCCATCAGGGTCTCTCAGGGATGCTGTCCCCTTCCTAGAGGTGGCCGCTGTGACATCCCCCGTTTACTGCATCAGATGACAAGACCTCGGACACGTTACCTGACCCCATGATATAGCGAGAGCCCCCTCCTCGGCCGTCCAGGCGGGCAACGTCGTTTTTCAGGTTGGACCTGGTGTGGCAACAGGGAGAAGACACACAGGCCCATGCAGTGAGAATGGAGCGGGCACGTCACATGTGAGGGCGAGGACAGAACTTTGGGTGGGGACTCTGCACGGAGCACGCGTGCACTGGGGTTCCCCCTCCTGCGAGGGCCTGCGTCAGAGGCACAGAGGATCCCTCCCACACTGGGTGACGTCCTCACAGTGCGGACGGGTCCATCCTTACTACACTGAACGACAGGGGTGCCGCTGTGGGCCGCAAGTCCGCGTCGTGCCACTACCTCAGCAGGGGGAGCTCCGCCAACGCCACCTGGAGCCGCGCCTCCCTGGTCCGCGCGTTGCAGCGGAAAATGTGCAGCACCACGGTGAAGCGGTCGAACACCCGCACGCCCCAGGCAGCCTCCAGCTCTTTCTAGGAAAGGAGAACACGTGACGGGGTGCGCACTGGCGCCCAGGCCTACCGCGGGACCTCAGGCGAGGGGCACGGGACACTCTCCCGAGACCCTGCGTCCTGTGTCCCTCGTGGGGAGGCTGACCAAGGCCTCGGCAGAGGGTGGACAGCACAGCACGGCCCCCAGTACCTTGGTGGGCGTGGACATCCTCTCCACGTTCAGGAAGACCGCTGTGAGTCCCGCCAAGCCTCGAATTCTTTCTAAGGGAGACAGGGTCCCGTTAGGATGACTGTCGCAGGACGACCCTGCACTCTGCTTGGCTGTGTCACCGGACTCTCTGAGCACGGTGTTGGGGACATCTGGGGTGTGGGTCAGGGTCGAGGGGTCACACAGAGGTCACATGACCCCATGGGGACTGAATGCATCTAAGACTTGGGGCAACAGGCAGGCAGTGAGCTGCCTTGCACACCTGCTGGGCTCGCTGCTCTGAACTGTGAGCCGGACGACAGTGTGTGGCGGGGGCCGTAGGAGAGCGGGTCCACAGGCAGGACCCACGCCTGGGCACTCAGAGTGGCTGTCAGGCGGCCCGGACGGAGAGCTGGGCTGCGGGCCATGGGGCCGGCCTGCACCCGACTCCAAACTGCCCACCTCTGGGGCCTCGCCTGAGTTCCATGGGGATGTCGGGCTTTTCCCGCATCGGCTCCAGTTTCCCGAGGCCACCTCAGCCCCGCAGAGCGGCAGCCTGTGCTTGTGCTGGTCCTCCTGGGAGTGGGAGAGGAAGGACAGGGGCGCGAGCGCTGGACCCACCCGTCAGATGTTCCAAGGTCCCTTTGCCAAAGATGAGCTTCCTGTCGGGCGTCTTGGTGGGCACCACCATGGTCTCCACCACCGACCAGCCGTCCAGCGTGCGGACCAGCGCCTCTGCCTCTGCCACCTGCCACTCAGCTACGGGGAGAGGTGCGTCCTGGGTGCGGGTGCTTCTAGTGGGACCACCGGCGGGCTGGGAGGGAGGCTCAGGTCTGCCCCGACAGCAGCGCCCCCAGAAAGCCCCATCCTACGAGTTCACGCCAAGTCCAGCCCCCCAGAAGCCCGCCCCTCAGCGTCTCCGCCCCATCAGCTCCGACACTCAGAAGCCCCGCCCTATCAGGTCCAGCCCTGGAGCCCCGCCCCTCAGGCCCCGCCCTCTGAGCCCCGCCCCCGCTCCCGCCAGTCATGCAGTCCCGCCCCCTCAGGCCCCTGCCCTATCAAGTCCAGCCCTGGAGCCCCGCCAGCCCTGCAGTCCCGCCCCCTCAGCTCCCCGCCCTATCAGGTCCAGCCCTGGAGCCCCGCCCCCGGTTACCTCGCGTCAGCTGCGGCTTCCCGGGTCCCCACTTGACCTCAGGGTGAACCAAGCACACGCGCTGGGCCCCCGCCGGCAGCACAGGCTCGCTCCGCAGCAGCTCCTCCTCCTCCTCCTCCGCATCCTCTGGCTCCTCCTCCTCCTCCTCCTCGGCTCCCGCTCGGCTTCTCCGGCCATCCGCACGTGGGCCGCGGCCTCCGCCCCCTCTCCCCTGCAGGTCCCCGGGGCCGAGGGCGGCGAGCGCGCGCAGGGGGCAGGGCGGCAGCGGCGGCGCGGCCCTCAGAGCCGGGCATTTGCGAACCACGCGAGAGAGCCAGGCGCGCGGGCGGACGGCGGCCCGCAGGGCCCACATCCTGCGTCCCCGGAACGCGATTGGGCGGGGCCTCGGGGGACGAGCTCCGGTGCGGGCTTCTCATTGGTCGCTCGGCGTCACGTGCTCGCCGGCGCCTGATTGGTGCAGGGTCGCGGGAGGCAGGGCCGGATGCAGGGCGGGGTTAGCGTTGTTTTTCCGTGCGGGCGGCGGGTCCCGCTCCAGGTGGCGCCGCGGGCGGTGTCGGGGGTCCGGTCCCCGCGGGGGTCCCGACCTCCGCCTTGCGGGACCGAACGCAGTCTCAGGGGTCCGAGGTTTTCCTTGGGGGTCCGAGCCTGTCCCCAGGGTCCCCAACTCTGCTGGGCTCTGGAGTCCGGCAGGGGAGCGTCCCAACTGCTGGGGACCTATCAGGTCCAGCCCTGGGGTCCCCAGACCCTGCCTGGGGGGGTCCCATCCTCCGGAACCCCAGACCCTGCCTTGGGGGGGTCCCATCCTCCAGAACCGCAGACCCTGCTTGGGGTCCCTGGTGCCATCCTCAGGGGTCCGGAGCGGTGCTTGGGGGTTCCGAAGTCTGCGCTGGTTGGTTGTCGCAGGCTCTGCCTCGGTGCAGGTTCAGCTGGTCCGTGTGTGTTGGGGAGTCACAGCCGAGCGCACTGGGTCCCGCAGAGGGAGAGGCGGGCTGGCTTCCAAACGGCGTCCCTGCTACTCAGAGGCGTCCGTTGCATCCTCCAGGCGGCGTCCGAGACGCGGGTGTGAGAGGGGCTCACAGGGTCCCAGCTGTCACTGAGTGTGTGCACGTGTGTGCATGTGTCTGGCGGGAGGGGGCTTGTGTTTACTGGAGAGCAGATTTAATTCCAACGTTCGTTTTTAAGTGTCTGCAGACAGCCGCGGCCTTTGTGATATTTCAGGAGACGATGTGACCACGTCCTTGTAACAGAAGGAGGGACATGGCAGAGGACTGGACACAGATGTAGCCCAAAGGCGCGGAAACGCGGTTGCCTCAGGAGTGGTTGTGGGGGTTGAAGGCAACGTTTGAGATGGTGCGTTGTTCGCAGCGCCTGTCAATACGCACGTGACCAGGCTGTGCAGATTAGCGATTTACATCATTACCTTAAAGGAAGCGGTGGATTCTTAGAATCTTGACCCCACGTGGCCAGTGACGCCCTAGGCGGGCTGTCATTCCTGGGCTATTTCCCTGCTGACAGCATGAGACACTGACCTACAACTTGGGATAATGACGTCACGGATGTGTGAGTTCTGGTGGCCGTGTTTCTGTGGCTGGCCCCCCTGCCGCTCTATCGTGACGGCTGGAGAGAGCCAGATGGACAGGAACGGGGATGAATGGGTCCGTGGGAAAACCACAAGGTCCTGTGTCCTTTGGGCGGGGCTGGGGATGGCTCGTCGTGCTCTGAGGTGCTGGGGTGCATGCAGGGCTGGCGGGGACCCCGGAACTCTGCAGGCAGAGGACTGTTCACCATCAGCTGGGGAGCATGCTGCGTGTGGCCCAGTCACGCCGCCTGGTGGGAGACTCAGGCAGGACCCTCGTTCCAAGTCCTCCACGTGGACAGTGCGGCCCGAGTTGGGCCCAGAGCGGGGTGAGCTGAGGGTTCCTGAGGTCCCAGAGCTCATCCCAGCAGCTGGGGCCCACCCAGCACAGCCACTGTCCTGACCAGGGGGATGTGACCCCAGGTGCAGAGTCTGGAAGGTGGGGACACCTGGCGAGTGAGGACATGTGACCCCAAGGGCAGGGTCTGGGAGGCGAGGTCACCTGGTGAGAGTGGATATGTGACCCCAGGTGCAGGGTCTGGGAGGTGGGCACCCTGGGGAGTGTGGATGTGTGACCCTAGGTTCAGGGTTTGTGGGGCCATATCGCTGTCACCACATTTTTCTGGTTCAGTGTCACGTCTGGGATAGACCCTGCAGTGTCTGCCTCTCTTTCTGATTGCTCCAGGATGTGAATATCAGGGTGTTGCTCTGAAGCACCCCGTGGTACCATTTCTCCTTTCTTAGGTCTTGTCCTATTGATATGGGGACAGGGACCGTTACGGGGTGGGGGTGGGGGGGTCTGTGTGCTGCTGAGGATCAATAACTCCTGCTCTTATTGGGGTAACCGCTGTCCCAGGTCCCCCCTGGAAGTAGCTCAGACAGCACTGACCAGCCCCCCCAAAGGATGGTCCCCAATGCACAGCCCAAGGGTATGGGTGACGGCCCCCCAGGCGGGGAGCTGGTCCTCACAGCTGTCTGTGGGACAGCACAAGGGGCCTCGCTTATTGGTGACAAAGGGGAGTCAAATTGGAATCTCAATTAGCAAGACGTCATTTTAAAAATGTATTTCTTGGGATAGCCGAGTGGCTCTGTTGGTTAAGAGCTTGCTGAAGAGTGTGAGCCCTGAGCAACAGCGGTTTGATTCCAGGCCCGAGCTGAGCTGCCAACAGGTGGCAGGATGGCTCAGCTAAAAAAAAAAAAAAAATGTATTTCTCTCCCTTTCTCTGTCTGCCCCCCCCCCTTCACTCCCTCGCTTTCTCTCCTCCCTTGCCTTCCCGGTGGCGCACAGTCTGCGTGGCTCCTGGAATTTGTTGGTAGTGCCTGGTTTTCAGCTTTTCCTCGCGTTCTCTAAACTCCCTTATTTAAAGGTCTGCGGTCGCACATGCTTTGACTTAAGGTCGGATGGGACTTGCGTTGAAAGCCGGGCTCATGTCACTGACGCTCGCGGTGCAGAAGGCGTGCCATGCACCGTGGCGCAGGACGCGCGGGGCTGGCCGTGAAGGCCGTGTGCGCTTACCCGGAGGGTTTCCAGCGCTGCTCGGTGTTGGGAGCCATGAGAGCTGCTTGCTACTTGATACTTTCTGCAGCCTAAGCAAATGTCTGTGCAGATCCTGATAGTCTCTGGTAAAAACAGCAAGACCTTGAGAACAAGGAACCAGGTGCAGTTACAGCCTTGAGACAAGTATACTTAGTATAACTGCCTAACGAGCAGGAGGTGTTGCTTATCTAGCAGGGACAGAGGGTGATAATGTTAATTGCATGGTCTTATGCTTTGCACGCACGTAGTGTCTCCCTTACATATGCTTTGTAAAATAAACTAGGGGCTTCAGTATGTACTGGAGTCCTCCCGGTAACTCTCTCTTCTGTCTCTTGTTTAAATCCTAGCGCCCCCACCCCCCCCTCAGGACTGTTCGACATATCGGCTGGCTCCGATAGCTCGGTCGCAGCCCTTTCGTAGTGCCAGGCAGGCGGGGAAGATATTTGGAATAAAGCCACGGCAGCGGCGCCCCCACAGCCCCTGGCGTCTCCCCGGGCAGCTTCAGGGCTCCGGCTCTCCTCCTCCGAAGCGCCCCCCGCGCCTGGAAGTCCAGAGGAAGATCGTTGGTTGGTTCTTTGGGGTCGCTGTGATTGTGACCCTGAAATCACTGACATGGGATCGTGGCGTGTGTTTCCTGGGCCAAGTGTTACCCGCGACCGAGCGCAGCCCACGTCGGACCGCAGCGTTACTCCGGCTTCCCGTAGAAAACGGGACAACGGCAAAGCCACCGCGTATGTTAGTGTTTCTTTTCCGGGAAAAGCAAGTGCGGACGGGCCCGGCCGCCTGCCGACCTCAGCCTGCTGCCGCCACACGGAGTCCCGTTTCCGTCGTGTCCTCGGGAGCAGCGAGGGAGGGGACAGACCGCTGGCTTTGGGTTGGGGGGACGGGCGGCGGGGGGGGGAGCTCGGGCTGGAGGAAAAGCTGCCGCCCGCGTCCTTGTCCCGCCTCCGGCGTCGGCCGGGACGCGCACGGTGAAGCTGACACCCAACGGGGTCGATCACAAGGGGGCGCTCAACGTTTATCTGAAACCGAGTCAAAAAAGATTTTCACATACAGGGCCTTGATTTTTTTTTTAATGTAATTTTTTAAAGTTTATTGTAAGTTAAGCTCAGTAAAAAGGGATTTGCTACAAAGTGCAGAGAAGTACAGAGCGCTACCCAGCGTGTGAAAACACGCATCGCTCGTGCTGGACCGTAACGCGCGGAACGTGCCGGCGCCGGGTCCGCCCTGTGCACGCGCAGCGTCCGCGCCCCCCGGTCCACGCGCGGGGTTGGCTCAGCTCCCACCCCCACGGAGCCTCCACCGCCCGCTCTGTCTTCGCTCTGCCTATGGGCGGCTCTGGGGACCCCCGCGGGTAGAGCCCCGCACCCCGTGAGTGGGGACCCCCGCGGGTGGAGCCCCGCAGGCCGTGAGTGGGGACCCCCGCGGGTGGAGCCACGCAGGCCGTGAGTGGGGAGCCCCGCGGGTGGAGCCCCGCAGGCCGTGAGTGGGGAGCCCCGCGGGTGGAGCCCCGCAGGCCCGGCGCCTCGTCGTTTCGCAGACGCAGCCTTTGGGTTCTGCAGCTCGGCCGGCTCTGCGGCCGGAGGAGGCGCCTGCCTGCGCGGGGACGGCGCCCGGTGCCGCGGCGGGACCCGACCCTGAGGCCGCGTGGGCCCCCCCCCCCTCTGGCAGGGACGCCCGCCCCCGGGGACAGCGTGGGGACAGCGTGTGCCGCGCGACCTTCCGTGGTGACTTGGCGCCCCCTCGTGGTCGCTCAGCGCGGGTGCCGCCTGCCGGCCCCTCGGGCGGGGGTGGGGGGGGTGGAGCTTCAGCGGCCGAGGGACCGCGGACGAGCCGGGTGTCACCCGGGGGAAGGGGACCCAGGCTCGGGCCTGACAGGCGCTTGCAGCCCGCATCGCGACACCGATGGTGCGGGGGGACCCGAGGGCCCGCTCTGGACGGCGTGGGGTGGCCCTGGAGCCCCGAGGCCCCGAGACACTGGTCTGCGAGGGCACTCCCTGCGCGGCCCCGCCCTTTGTTCTGGGGACAGCCGCCCGCCTGGCCCGCGTGGGGTCCTCGTACTGCCTGGTGACACCCCCACACACACACCGAGGGAATGGGCTGCTGGCTGAGGTGACTTGCTGGCATTTGTCGTGTCCTGAGGGGCCGCGTCCATGCCCACGGGGTCCTCAGGGTGCTGCGTGGGGGACAGAGGCCGAGAGCCGAGGGGACGGAGCGTGGGGACACGTGTGGAGGGAAGACCCTGCCAACAGCCCACAGCTCATCCTTTAAGGCTTTCGGGTCGGAGGGGAGGACCAGTGAGTGACTCGGTGGGACAAGCAGGTGCAAGACGGAGGGTGATGCAGGACTGGGGCTCTCCTGGCCCTCGGGCTGCTCACCGGGGTGTGTCCTGTCCCCGGCGGAGGTCACCGGCTGGCTCACCGGGGTGTGAGCAGGAAGGCAGCTGTGACATTGGGCCCTCCCTTCTGTAAATTTAAGGTGGGCGCGTTGCGGCTTTTCAGCCACAGTCCCCTCAGGGCTCTGTGTGGCCTCAGGGTCGGGTACAGAACCTGGGGGGTTTGGGGACGACGGGCTGGGTCAGCCACCCTCCGGCTGCCTGTCCCCTCTGGTCACCCTGCAGGGCACAGCTGACAGGGTGGTGTGCGCCTGGGGCTGTGTACGTGGAGGGCTCAGGCCTGCGTGTGGGCGTCCGTGGGGTGAGCCAGGTGCCGGCGTTTCATTCGTGGACGTGGGAGCTGGGAGGGAGTCGGTATCCGCTGGCGCGATGGAGGCCCGCGCCCCCGGGGAGGGCAGGGTCGCTGGCGGGTCCCTCCGTGCTCGGCCAGAGGAGGACACACACCCTGCCGCCTGGCGGGCGTCCTCTTGGCCCCACGGACCACCCAGGGCCCTTTCATGGGGGCATCCCTGGTTCAGCCTGGGGCGAGGGGGTCACCACGGAGAAGCAGACGTGCTTCACAGACTGACCCCCAACACTGCTGCCGCCATCTGCACCGTTTCCCACTGTAACGTCACAGGGTGGGGACAGGAAGGACATGTGGATGAATGTCCAGGGACGTCTTTCAATGTGGGTCCCACCAGGGGGCCCAGGACGTAACAGTGCGAATGTCTGCACTTGGTCTAGGGGTTCCTCTCACACTGTAATCGACACTCAGGGGAGTTCAAGGGTCCCCCCAAACTGACCCTTCCGACCAACTGCCCCTCCCCACACTCCAGCAGCCAGAGCTGACGTGGCAGGACCCTTCCTCTCTGAGGGGCGGGCAGCCTCCCTCACCTGCCCCGGTGGATGGACAGATTGTCTCATCCAGGTGTTGACCGGTGGACAATGATGGACACCCTCGTATGCCCCCGTGTGGAGAGACGGACGGTCAGGCTTCTGGGACCGGGCACGGACGGACAGAGGGAAGCACGGAGGGAAGGCCTCTGCCAGTGACCCAGGGCCTGGCCCCAGGCACCAGACCGTCCCCCGGGCCCTGCGCTGTGCGGCCTTCTCCGCGCCCTCACACAGACAAGTGCGTTTGTCTCTGGTCATTTAAATGGCACACAGTGGGGCGAACGGGAGCACAGGGAGGGCGTCCAGCCGCTCTCCCCAAGCCGCCCCCCCACCCGACCCCCCACTTCCTCCTCTGGCTTGTCCTTTTCCTTTTGCCCTGGAGTTCAGCGCTCACAAACGCGGCCGTCGGGGCACCGTGTTTCCTGTCCTGGTGGAAGGGCTGGAATTAGCCAGCACAGCTCGCCCAGGCGGCCACCGCTCTTCACGGGCTGTCTGGGACCCTCTGCACCTGAGGCCCACGGCGTCCTCCATGCGGGAGGCCGTGTGGATACGCCTTCCTGAGGCAGACGTGGTCTGTGTCCTGGGCTGCGTGGTCCCCTGTGGTGGCATCACTGACAACCACAAACCTGGGGCTCACCACCACAGGAACTGACCTGCGCCCGTCCTGGAGGCCAGGAGGCTGCCACCAAGGTGTCCCAGGGCCGCGCTCCCTCCGGAGGCCCCAGGGGACGGTCCCTCCTGCCCCGTCCAGCTCCTGGGGGCTCCAGGCCACATGTGCTCCGCCCTCAGGCTGCCAGAAAGGTGGATGGGTCCAGCGTTGGGCCGTCAGGGACACATCTTCAGGTGCCATCCTGGCTGCTGTCCCTGGTGCCCAGGGGGGAGGGGCCCCCCTGGAGGCTGAGGGAGTCCGGGGCCCGGAAAGGCTGGAGTATCCCGTGTCCCTGGGTCAACTGTCAGGGAGGAGCTGCCTGGGGGGGCTGTGGGGGCTTCAGTGTTCCGTGTCGTCCTCCACGGGTGCCGGCGGTGGGGCCGCGGTGTGCGGAACAGGACGGAGGGGGACCCGGGAGGAGCCGTAGCCCCGGCAGGGGGACCCCCGTTACTGCCCTCCCTTTGGATAAGGGGGTGCTCCTGCCTCGTCGCTCTTGTGCTGGGGCCAAACCAGAGCCCTGCAGGACACCGGAGGGGCCGGCCTGTATAGCCAGCCCCGTGGGGACCAGGGAGCGATGTTGGGGGTCTCCCCTTTCGTGTTTGTAGGCCCCCAACCCCACTTGTGCAGATGAGAGCTGAGGCGGGAGGCAAGCAAGCACATCCCTGCAGGGACCTTGGCCTGGGAACCTGGGACCCCGTGACATCCCTGTCCCCACGCGAGGCTGACTTCTGCAGGTCCCTCCCTCCCTGCCGCCCGGGCTCGGGGGGTCGCTGCCTGAGGGCAGCGTGTGTGTCCCAGAGTCTCCCCTCTCCTCCCCCTGGGGAGTGAAGGCCTGGGACAGGGGCGCCAGGACCACGGTGGCTGCAGGGCCAGCAGCACCGCCTGGAGGGTCCCACTGCTGGGGACACTCGGGCCTCAGGTCCTGTGACCTGCACCAGTGGGCTTCCAGCCCCCGAAAGCTGTGCCCACCCCGGTGACGCTGTGTTCTGGTGGCAGTGTCCCCTCTGTGAACGGTAGTCTCCGTGCCGCGGGCTGTGGGCTGCTGGCTGAGGGAGCAGAGCCAGCGGCTGAAAATCCTTAAATTATTTATTTGAAAATACAAACGTGATCTCGTAAAACATTTTAAACTGCTCTACACAGCAAATAAAAGCTAACTTTACATACTTTGTACATTGAGGGGGAGACGGTCGGATAATCGGGGTCGCGCCCTCCCCCTGCGTGGGGCTGTGGCCGCGAAGGGCCCGGCGCGGGGCCCGTGCCGGCGGACGTGCGGCTCCCGGAAGCTTCTGACTCGCGGCTGGACGAGAACACAGCCGCCGACGCCCCGAAGCCCGAGCAGGTCCCACGGCTGAGGCGGATCCTCGCGGAGCAGAAACCGGTTCCCCTCCGGCGTGGAGCGGCGCCCGGGACGCGGCACGTCTCCCGTCGCCTCGGCTCGAGGGCCGCGCAGCAGGGCCGCCCGTGTCCTTTCCCGCCAGGCCCGGCTTTGAGGACACGCGCCGGGCTCCGCAGGACGGGTGGGGACACGCTCCCAGGACCAGCTCTGACCAGCTCCCGTGCTGAATAAATAAAACGTATCATTCCGTACAAACGCACTTCATTTTCCGTAAAAGAGCTCAACCATCACACAGCTGTTTGTTTTGCAGAAGCCGCTGCACCGGCTGGCTGCCACAGACAGTCCCCAGGGGCCGCGGGTCACGAGGGCTGCAGGTCGTCCCCACTCTCGTACTCGTACAGGTCGACGGGGCCCAGCGCGGACGGCGCCTCGAAGAAGGGCCTCTGGGCCAGCGGGGACCGCAGCGCGCTCAGCTTCTGGTCCACGGGGCTCAGCTCGGCCTCGTACCTGCAGGGGGCACGGTGAGGGCGCGGTGAGGGCGCGGGAGGGCCTCGCGGGGACACAGGAGGGGCCTGGTGGGGACACACTAGGGGACACGGTGGGAGAACAGGGGCCCAGTGGGGACATGAGGGGCCGGGGAACAGCAGCGCAGAGCAGGGGAGCGCCGTGCGGCACCCAGACCGGCAGGTGGCACTCCCACACGACCTGACAGGTGAGCCTCGGGCGGCCGCTAACTCTGGGCCCATCCGTGGTGAGTCCCACCCCCACGCACCGGGAGACGTCCCTGTCCCCCGCAATGACAGCCGGAGAACAGGAGGAGGGGACACTCCCCGTCGCGTCCCAGGAGGCCAGCATCCCGCCCCCCAACGACACACTGTCCCAGGGCAAGGGCGGGGTCTGCAAACAGGAGGTGTGAGTACAGACGCACGTGTGACGTAAGGAAGACACGTCACGGCCAAGTGGGGGTATCTGGGGGCGCAAGGCGGGCAGCCATCGGACGCCACTCTAAGTCACGGCCACACCAGCCCACAGAGGGAGCCCGTTTGGCCCAGAGCACCTGCAAACTGTTCCCATCTCTGGAAGCTGGGGGAGAGGGTCCCCAGCCGATAAAGGACGTTAAGAAATGGCACCATCTGCCACACGTCACCGTGGACGGTGCGTCCCGTGTGCCTGGGACGGGGACAGCAGGGCGCTGGCCCCGACATGACACAGCAGGAAGGAAGGACGGACCGTGCAGAGCTCAGGACGCCGTCTCGCTGCCCGGGTGACACAGCCGTGTGCACGGCCAGAACCCCAAGACCCCGGGACAAAGTGAGCGGACCACCAGCTGCAGCTCAGGGAGGCCGTGTCTCCAGGTCCCAGCGGCGACACCGGGACACACATGCGAACTCAAAGGACCCAAGTTCCGAAGTCCACGTCCCACGAGAACCCGTGAGGCCCCCACCGGAGGAGCCAAGTCCCTGCGGAAGACTCAGGTGGGGACCGAGTGCAGGTGGGGTGCGTGGACCAGGAAGGCCAGCATGCTAGGGCGCCACCTGCCCCCACACGGACCATCAGCACCAACGTGACACCCCACTCAGCAGCGTGTTCTCAGGAATGAGAACAGGGCACGTGCCGTGGCTGTCACCGCAGGACGGCCGGGTCACCATGCGGCTCCAGGGAGGAGACGTTGGTCGGGGAACGGGCAGTCACACAGGCGCTGGGACAGTGTCCCCGAATCGGCCCTCAGAGATGAGCCGGCCTGGTCATGGTGTCACCATGCAAACACTGCACGGCCCAATCAACGTCCCCGTCCCTGCGGGACTTTCTACGGCTACGGCTGACCGCACCGCCACCCGCCGTTCAGGGACAGGCAGGCAGCAGGCGAGACCACGCGCTCGGCACGGCCACTCCGGGGCTGCGGTGCTCGCCGGGAGGGATCCACCCCGGACGGTGTCGTGCAGACAGGCGGACAGGACGGGGCAAGCTCAGGCACAGAGCACCCACGGCCGGTCCTCGGGGAGGGCGCCGGGCCAGCTCCGAGGGGGGCGTGACACGGTCGGTGCCGGGCCAGCCGGACACCAGAGGTGACAGGGCCGGGCCCACCCTGCGCCCACGGGAGGCTCCCCAGCCATCGCACAGCGAGACCCCAGCGCAGGTCAGTGAGTCCTGGAAGCCCCGCGCCCTGTGAGGCCGCGAGTTCTGCGGGGACGGCGGCTCAGCCGGGAAGGCCGGCAGCCCGGGCCTTTCATCCGCACGAGTGTCCACTCGGCAGCGCAGGACAGTGACCAGTGACACGACAGGACAGTGAGGCCGCGTCTGACCAAGGACTGTGCTCAAGGACATGGGGACCCACCCTTAGGACCCAGTAACAGAAAACGCAGAGTGAGGACGGGTGACACGTCACCCAGACAGATGCACGGGGCCCACAAGGACCTGCCACAGGGCGTGAGACCCCGAACGCCAGCACTGCGGGGACGCAGCGTGGTGCACGTGCCCCGGGCAGCTGCTGAGGGGGCCGCCCCACAGCTACCATGTGGCTCACTGTCCCCTACGAACGGGGCCCAGACGGGTGAGGACGCCCCTTGTGAAACCAGCACAGTGGCTTCACTCTCAGAAACGTGCCCCAAACCTGCAGCCAAGCCACCGGCACGCGGCCTGGTGGGTGAGAGACGTCCCCGCAGCACGGGGCGCTGCTCAGCGGGGACACACAAGGAGCTCGCTGGCCCTGCGTCCCCACGTCCCCGCGTCCCCGCGTCCCCACTCACCCGTCCTCCCAGGGCTCGCCCGCAGCCTCCTCGGCCACCAGGATGTCGTACTCCTCCGCGGCGTACTTCTCCCAGTCCGACAGCTCGGGGCCCTCGGTCTCGCTCTCCTGCGTCACACGTGTGTCACGGGGCGCGGCCCACGCTCCCCGCCTCACCCACGGCAGGGACACCCCTGCACCTCCGCCCCGCACCCCATCCCGGTCCCCTCACCCTCAGCAGGGACGCCTGCTCCTTCTGCTCATGCTCCAGGTACTTCTCGATGTTGAAGAAGGTGTCGAAGAAGACGTTGGCCATCTTGCATCTCTTCAGGTCGTGCAGCGTGATCTTCCCTGAGGAGTGTGGGCGGCGCACACGTCACCCCGGGCGCTGCACACGTGGCCCGGGGATGGTGCACACG